TCTTTCTAATATGATATCTGATTGAACATCAAAAATTACAATATTAAAAATTGCTAGTCAATTTAATTTAATTTGTAATATTATTACAGTCATTTAATTGCAATTTGAATAACTACAAATATGATACATATGCATATATATATATATATATACACACACATAAAATTCATAATGCATTATTTAAAGCATGTTAAAGATCCAGCTTTGATCGGTATAGGCATTTAATTCCTGAAACGCCCAATATTTCTCGCCGAAAGTGAAAATAATCTAATTTTTAGCATAAATTGATGCAGGAATTGTTGGGAAAAAAAGTCTAAGTCGATAATACACGGATAAAAACAGTTTTGCTGAAGTATCTAAAAATTTAACTTGATATAGATCTGAAAATAATTTTGTTGGACCATAAAATAATTTGTATGTAGGACATATAAGTCGGTGGCTAGGATGTCAAACTTTTTGCACCATTACTCATTATGTCCTACATAATTATTTCAATAGCCTAACAAAATTATTTTCAAATGTATATCTAGCTACATTTTTAGATATTACAACATATAACAGTCCTTTCTATGTGCATAGAAATATTTTGCTAAATATCTGTATTTAAAGGTACAGAAAATAATTTTGTTGGATCATTTAAATAATTACGTAGGAATTTCAAACATGATGAACGATACTGCGAAAAATTTGCTTAAACATATAATTATTTTGATAGTCAATAAAATTACTTAAAAATCTGTATCCAGCTAAATTTTTAGGTACTTTATCGTTCTTTCCATTTGTATGTTTCTTCGATTGTATTCTCCGTTGTTACAAGACGTACTAATTATAAACAGACCAGATCTCTGACGACTCGATATTCATGCGATTAGCGCATCATCGTATTTTTAACGCCCAAGGTTAATTGTGATCAGTGTTAATTTGCCGCATACATAACGCGCTTCGTGCGTAATTGGTAGACGCATAAATTGTTCCGCGATAAAGATTTTCGCGAAGAACTCAAGATAAGATCGCCGCGTGAGACGGCGAGGGCATTAGCACCTCGTTGAGGGAGTTGGATCTCTACCTCCTATTTTTAAGGGCCGATACTAATTGCGGACGGCGTTAATTTACAGCGTAGGTGTCACGCTTCGTGAGATGTATATTCCAATAAATCGTTCTACAATGCGGAGCGAAGTAATGCCACGCCGGCGTCTAGTGCAGTTCGATTTTTTATTTGTCACAGTATAACCCGTGATATTAATTGTGTGAGCCTTGTTGATTTATATAAGCGTGTGTAAGTCCCGCTGCGGGATGAAATACGTTGCAGATAAGTATATGCAAGATTACAGTGCAGGATGAGGACGTAGAGACAAAGACCGCGGAGCGGGCAAAGCGTTTACTTTCGTTCTCAATAATGTGGTAATCATATTCCCATTTCGCAGGTGCATCGAAAGGTTAGAAAACGATTAATCACACCTATACGTTTATAATGTATCGCACTTAAGAACATGTACCTAACATGTATGTTACACGCGGACTGTATTATGCAAAAATGAGTTAAGCAACAATTTGGGATAATATAGGTTTAAAATTGTCACGAGTTTGTCTAGAGACAATCTCTCTAAAATTTTTCAAGTAGAATCTAATTCTAAAAAAGTGACAATTGAGTGTTGAAAAAGAGTTGCTCACTTGTCGAGTCATTTTAAAAGTGAGATTTCATTCTTTAGAATTAGATTTCACTCCAAGAAGAGTTTTGGGAATTATCAATTATATGCATATAAAATCACAATTTTTTTTACATTTTTTTGAATTTATTTCATTTTTGTGTAATATATGAATTGTTCACAAAGAATTGTTTTGCTGAAATCTAAAAATACAGATGAAAATAATTTTGTTGGACCATCAAAATAATTATGTCCGATGCTTAAACTGATTGTTAAAATATCAAAATTTTTTGTAGCATCACTCATCAAGCTTGAGATTCCTATGTAATTATTTTAATAATTATTTTAATCGTTTTTTAATAAAATCATTTTCAATTTTGTATCTATATTGCATTTTTAGATTTTAGTAAAATTATTCTTTTCATGCAGACAATAAAATTTCAATTGGAGCACCTATGACAGATTTGCGAAATTAGAAAAGACAATTGATTCTAAGATTGTTCAAGAATTTGGCATATCACGTTTACGCATTACCAGAACATCGTGAATTTCACGGTCATGTTACTAAAACAAAAAAAAAATTGTGTTCACACGAAAGTCTAGAAGTACTAGACGAGAGAAATGCTTTCGCTTTTGTATCGATACGATGTGCCAGCGAATAAACTCTAAAGTCCAACGCGAAACGCTTCGCGCGCGGATAGGAACGTGCGTTTAAAGACTCGGACAAATTGCGATCTGACCGCGTGTCCGCTTTCTTATATACTAATATGCGAACACGTTCGCCGTCGTAGCCTCGCGCGGAGTGCTCTCCTCACTACGTGAGCCTTACATGCAACTTACATACACGCTTGCACAACTATGTCGAGTTCTGTACAGTTAAGTGTAACTACGTGCCCGTAGTTATACGCTCGTAGGCTACCGCATGCGTAGTCCTAGCTCCGCGCGTTACGTGTGCACACAGAGTGTCCCTGAGCCGATCGCCTTTCCTTCCAGCGTTAAGCGCTGTAACATCTAAATGATGGACTTACGCCTGAGAAATACATTTCAATTTTTCGACACGTTTAATAGGTGGAAAAAGATTCAGTGTAGATTAAATCTGGAAAAATATCGCGATATCTCTCCGTACGGCGGATAAATACGATAAATAAGATAGGCGATCGAATCCTGTTGATAAAGCTGGCTTATCGAAAACTATCTTGTATGTCTTAGTATCTATACGTATATCAGTGATCCTCAGCCAGGCGTTTCGACCACTGTATTTTCCGCCATTATTACAGCCCGCGGCTTCTTGCCGCGCAGGGTGTACGGATAGCGCAAACGATTTTATACGCCTCTACTTAGCCACTATCGTCCCGGCCGCTAAAAATCCTATTCGTACCGAGCCAGGAATGTGTTAATGCGAGGCGAAGATTGAGAAACTCTGGGCTACGCGCAACTAGGGGTCCGCCGGCGGGCCTGATACCGGATTATCCGAGTAGAAAATGTAATGGAACGAGTAAAGTTTGCGTTCACGCATCGTTGGTCCGGTCTCGCGTCTGGCGAGGGAGGCACCATAAGAACACCGTCGACACAGTGCAACACCAACGCGATTAGGTAACTGAAACCGTATCGACGTATGCACGCGTGCTACTATGTGGGTGTACCACCGGCGTAACCACGCGTTGTTGCGCGCTCGCCACGCGATGTGGGGAGGATAATGCGCCGATAACACGGTCGATTCGCTGAAACAGTTCCGATCCAGATTCCACGAGTCAGCCTAGTTTCCAGAAGAATCGTGCGAAACGCGATCTCACATTCCTAGTTTTTCCTGCATTCGTACACACTGTTTTCCAGTCTCGTTCAGACAAAGATTACATATAGATTAGATATAGATTTCAGAACGAAATGTTAGCCTTTACATGAAGTGATAATTTCCTAATGCGATGAAAAATATCTGATTTGAATTTGATAAAATTTCTCTGTAAACAATAATAAATTAATATAGCTAGAAAGAAATCGAATGAATAAGGTATCAATAAGTGTAAGGAGTCAATGCTTGAGACTAGATTTTGATGTCTAATAATGTTTCTCACAAAAAGATGATCAAATGATCTAATGTGATGAAATGTCTAATTTGAATTTTATGTAGAGTTTCTCCGTAAATTTGTACATAGTTTTCGCACGTTATATTACTTCTAATCTCATTCACAAAAAGGTCACACTTTTCGTAGATTTCAGAACAATATTAGCCTTTATACGAAGTAACAATCTCCGAATGGAATTCAATGTAATGAAATATCTGATTTGAATTTTATAGAGTTTTTCTGTAAAATCTTTAGATATCTTTCGCGCGTGATGTTTCTTCCAATTTTGACACGTATGTATATTGCGAGTGGCATTAAAGTGGCGTGTTGCGATTATATGACTTTGTGCGAGAGACGATCATTAGACATCAACAGTAGTTTTGAGTGGCGCAGCGCGGCTTCAAAATTATTACGTCGCCTTGCGCGAACGAACACGACAGTTTAACGATCCTCCTAAGGCGCAAACGAAGCAGAAACTTAGTTCCGACGATTGATCGTCGTGATCAACTAGACTGCTGTTGGATAAATTAAGGCATAACAGGTAAACAGCTCGTTAACGATACTCGACGATGAGCATGTTGCGTTATTGTCGGGTCAGCTTGCCGCCAAACTGAGAGTCATTCGACACTCGTGTATCGCGAGTCCGCAAGATCGTGTAATGGCGTCATATTTACGCTCTCTTATCTAACTCAATCCGGAAGAAAAGCTGCCAGGAGACCCGTTCACAATCAATCTTTGTCGAAAGCATCTTAGTAATACAGGGATAAAACGCACGCGACGACTCTTAAACTACCTGCAGAGAATGATATTTATTGGAAAATGTAGCACGCAAGACGGAAGAATGAATCGATCCGCCAAAAAAACATTCTGATGTAGAGTGCAATAAATATAATATTAATTAGACTGTAGGTAATAAGCGGAAAGTGAGTTTAAGAGCCTTTTACTGTAATAAATTGTAATAAGCACGCAAGACGAAGGAATATTATGAATTATCTCTTAAAAATACTATATGTGATCTTGATGCAGAGTGTAATAAATATAATATTAATTAGACTGTGTGTAATAAGTGGAAAATGTTTAGATGCCTGTTACTGTAATAAGTAAGGTATATCTTTATTTATTTATAATCTATCGATACGGAGATTGACTTGCCTCGCGTTTTTATGTAATTATAATTGATAAACAGTTGAATTTATTTTTGTATTGAAATATTTCGCAATATAATATTCAGAGTATCGGATTAATAAGTAAGTCTGATAATTGATTAACATCTTTTTATTTTACTTTTCAGAAGCTGAAAAAATTCTGGACAAGTCACGGAAAAAGAGCGGCAACCTTATCAGTAAGTCAAACCGCATAACTAGTATTTTTTATCCAGTCATCCATGCTCTTATCTATTAACATCACTTTAATCTTTTCTCTTTCTTTTTCTTGTTAGTCTTGATCGTTTCGAAACGATTAATTCCTGCTATTTATCTCTTTGAAAGCGTAACAAAATAACGTTGCACGTATGAACTGTTAAGCAAAATCTATTTACGTAAGTTCTATTATTTTTCTTTATAAGAAATACAAAAGACATTTAGAAAAATACTGTAATAATAAATTATAACAATAAAATCTAATTAAGTTATTATAATAATTATTACAGTTTTACGAAAAGAAGAGAAATGATTTTATCTAAAATTTTATAATATCTTAAAAGTAATTAGAAAAATTGAGATATTTTTATTTTGTTTCGCGATTATTCATAATTATTCAATATTATTCAAAATTACTAATTTCTTTTAAATTTAGTATATAACAAAGTTAGGCTATAAATTACATTAAAACTTAACAGAATATTTGCTTCGAAATATGAAAAATAATAATGTTCATTATTGGCTGATAAAAACTAGAACACAATACGCCCATTTTATTATTTATAGATATTTATTCAACGTTATTAATTGCGATGTGTATTATTCGAAAGTACGTACGTGTTCCTGTAGAAAAAAAGGGTATATCGATCTCAGAAACAATAGATTAAAGTTATTATAGTATTATGGAAAGCGACAATTACTTCCGGAATTAATGGATCGTGAAGAATTTCCGATCGAATGGCGATTCCCCTTTTTAAACGCGATCACACAGAGCGCGGGCGGTTTATAAAGTCATTATCGGAAAAGATATATGTGCAATCATAGATTCTTATTCGTCGCCGATAAATGCAGTAGATCGTGACGTAATGTGAAAGGATAAAGGATACGTTGCATACATCAACATTTATCATTTTCAAAAAAGTTTCTTATCTCGCATATTTTATCGCATCGTTAAATGACTGAAGCTTGAAAAAAAACCTCGCCAAAATTGATCTTCTTCGTTTGTATTACATATCGTCATAAATGATTTAACATTGAATGATAAATTCTTACAGTACCGTATATTCGAGAATGTAATATTTAAAAATAGAAACCGATCATCTCCGCTTCGATCAATTTGTAACGTCATTCGTGTGATCATCACAACCTTCGCCCATGGCCTTCTTTCAAGCTCAACAAGGTTACAGGTTGTGATCTACCGATAACGCACGAGGCGTACTTGGTCCATCGCAGCATATTTATTGAGCTAGAGAAGAAGAAATTGCAAAGCAAAAAGTTATTATTTATCGGATAACAAGATAACTCTTGTCCACATTCGTGCATAAATTTATCCTTAAATTTATAATAAATTATTGAAAAACTCAGAGACTTTGAATATATCCAGATTAGAGATATATTATTTTTCTTCGAAAGATTTCAACTCTTTAAACACGTTTTCGTACATGCACAAAGCATCGTACCTTTTCATCGAGTAGATTGCATTCGGATTATTTGATTCACCGGGTTTCCAGGACTCTTCTTGCGCGCTAAGACGGGCGTGGACTACGAGCGTTGAAAATCGCGGCTGACCCGTGTGCCAGATATTTTTTTTCCTCGCGACGACGCGCGCTCCTCCGGGGCCAGCCGGTTGGCCGACTGTTCCCGTCGACTGTACCGGCGGCCATGCATCGCCGATGAGAATATGACCCCGGCACGTATAGCTCGGGCCTCGAAGTAAACTACATAGGCGTTGCGCGCGTCTCTCTCGACTTCGCCAGGCGAGTCGGTGGTCGTGCGAGTCGGTGTCGTCGGCACGGTGCTTCGTGTGGCGTAGGTGATGGCGGTGCCTTGCCTTGGTGATGGTGGGAGTACCGCAAGGGTCAATCCACGGTCCACCATTATATTCCCTCGACGAAGTCGTGGTACACGGGGGCCTTGGAGCGGGTTCACAGCCAAGACGACGACGACGACGACGACGACGACGACGACGACATTCGGACACTTAATGGTCGGAATTTGTCTGGCCGGCAGGTACACTGACAGCTAGTCGGCAGAGTTAGTGACTTAGGCTGGCTTGGTTAGAGACCGAGATAGCTAGGATAGAAGAGGGTATGAGAATTACATGCGAGGCGACGTCGATGTCGACAAATGTGGATCAGCTTCACAAAAAAAAAAAAAAACGATTCTTTCGCGTTACATAAAAGTATAAGTTAAAATCTATAGATTGTAAAAACGGTTATAGCTACATGGAAAGAACGATTTTGCCGAAATATTTAAAAATGTAACTAAATACAGATCCGAATATAATTTGGGATTAACTATCAAAATATTTATACAGAAAACTCAAGCATGAGCACAAAATTTTAATATTCTAACAGCCAGTTCGAGCGTCTACATAATTATTTTATTAATAGTCCAAAAAGTTATTTTCTGATTTGTATATTTAGCTAAATTTTTAGATACTTCAGCAAAATCATTGTTTCCGTGTAGGTTGTTAACATAAAACTATGCATTTAATATTTGATTTAATTAAAATTTACTGAGTGAATTCAATAAGTTAGTTTCAATTCAATAAGTAAGTCTGTATAATGTCATATGAATTGTTGCACTTAATTTTTTAAGTATCGTAGGTGTTCATGTTCAGGCGTTTTTTTCATTAAAAAAATTTTTTTCCTTCGAGATTTACGCCGACGTATTGTTAAAACTTATCATAACCGTAATTTTAAGCGTTTTATGTTAGAAGAAGCAACTAATCGTTAAGAAAGCGGTTAATCTATATCCATCATCTACACAGTTAAGATTCTTGAATCATTTAATTAGCGGAATTGTTAACGACCGAATGATCGGTAATTCGTGCATATGTGGTAGTGACTATACTCGTATATGTGCACGAGTACCAAGCGGTCCACCGTCCTTTAAATACAACTTTGACCTTTAAGAGGGGTGGAATGTATCGTTTGCAAAAAAATCGCCACGAAGAAATGACTCTATCGTAATTAAACCATTGACGTTGGAGGTACCGTAAGGGTCAATCCACGGTCGAACATCATATTCTTCGGCTAGGAGCATAGCTTTAGGAGCGGGTTCGTATAACTGCAACACACAACGTTCGACGCTTAATGGTCGGAATTTGTCTGAATGGCAGGTAACACTGACAGGCACTCGGTTTAAACTCGGTGAGTGGAGGATATACCGGTTACAGAAACCCGCGGTATCCAGAAAGTTCTCCGGTAATTCAAGGCTCGCCCGGGTCGCCGATTAACGTATCGATCATTAGACGATGCCGATCGAGGCGACTTTTTCCCGCGACCCAGCTAGCCGCGATCACTTTAAAGTTCAAATTGAAGCCTACATAACGAGACAGCCTACATAACTTACCTTCTCTTCTCGTTTCTTTCTTGTTTATGTCTGTTTATAGCAGAATATAGAGCGGAAACAACCAATAATGCAAAAGTTTTAACGATGTTTCTCACGTTTAGACACATTTATACAAACAGACAGACATATTTTTCATAGAAAAAATTTAAGTATTTGTATTTAAAAATGAAATAATTTTCTTTTATCAAAATTTAATTGTGAATTGCTTTTTACAGTCTTTAACTCCTTCAGATCAGATTTTAATAAAATCATTAAAAAAAATTTTATAATTCTTACCAGCACTTTAATTTTACAAAAAAATTTATTTTTTTTTTTTACAATTTGGACTATTTTTCCAACATTATTATGTACATCTGCAGGTCTTAGATGATGTCGATAAAATTAAATAACCTCAACAGATAATGTCTTCAAATTTTTTTATACATTACAATGACACCAAGTCTGAAGAGGTTAAGAGATATAAAGTATAAAATTTCATTACTTAAAAATTTTACAATTAGAAATTCTTCATCTCTAATCTGGGTCTTTTTTGTAATTTTCATAAGTAAAATTTCACTCTGAAATTTCTTCCGATTTTTTTTCATTTTTTATTAAATAACGTTTTAATATTTAAGTTAAAAAATTGAGGATAGGAGAAGTATTTTCTTTCAACTAAATGCAACTTTTTAATTAAAGTTACACATTTATCTTTATATTAGCAGTAATGCAAACAGTTTTATGACAATAACTTACGCAAATGACGATGTGTTAAATGACAGTGTCTTAAGTTATCGTCATCCTGGCGTACAAACAACGCCAGGATTATCGAGCCTTAAAGATCGGAATTTATCCGAACAAACAGATACACGAGTTATAAGTTAAGACAACAGTAAGTAAGAAGTTAAGAAAAATCATTAAGAGAAACTAACGAGACGTGTGCATGGAATGGCCAAGTGGCTTACAATCCTTTTAGACCTTGTCATTTTTAGTTTCACTGATCATTAATTGGCTGTTGCCAATTGTCGAACGATGTTAACTGACTGGTTCGACCGTTTTCCCTGACGAGAGAACGGCACGAATCGACAAATCGATTTGTGCCACGAAACCTATTGCGTTTAATAGAACATGGGAACAAATTGCGCTTTCGCCGCTTTCAAAATAATATTGTCTTAAACGTCGAATCAGTCATTTTGAAAAATTCAATATTTCTAATATTGAAGATTCGGTTCTTTAAAATATTATAACATCGAATTTGAATAATATTTATGAGAGAATTATTTTATTTTATTTTTTTAAAAACATTATATACTTATTTTTTTTATATTTGTTATACAATTCAATGAATATCTTTGATTTTTCTATTTAGTTGATCCAATATGGAAGAGACTGAGAGATTAAACATATATCTATGTACTGTTTAATTTAACAGATTAATCGATTTCATTTTCGTTGAAGAAATTGCCATCTACTTTTCTATCAGTCAAATCAAGTTATATAAGTATTGCCGTAAATAGACCGATTAGATCACAGCGGAAACGTCAAATACAAGGATCCCATGACAAATTTCATTCGTGGCGTCGAATCAGTCGGCGATTCTTCCGCCTGTCTGCAATCAGGAAAAGACGAGTTCCCGGACGAGCTACGTCTG